TTGTTTCTTTTTCAGGAAAAATGTTTCATTGGATAATAAAAGAAATTATTTGATGATGGAATTACTTTCTGTAATACAAAAAAATGTCGAACACTAACTATAAATCTCTTTCCTTTGATCTCATGCATATATAGTTTAAGATCCTGTTCACGAAAAGCTTTAGAATTTTAATAATAGTTATTTTACATGTTCAGCATTTAATGAAACATTTTTATTGATTAACAAAAATTTCTGCATAATTTTCACAAATAAAATTCAGGAATATGTATAAAAAATCACAGTTAAAATGCAAGACAAAATTAAAATAGATGTTGAGTAAATAAACTGTTGAGTAAGTCTAAATCATGAACTTTTTTTTAAACCTTGATTAATTTCTAAAAGAATTTTTTTTATAAATGACGACCAATTCTAGATTGATTAAAATGTAAGGAGATAAATATATTATAATGGCAACACTTTTTATAAATTTCTTTGCCAATTGTATTGCCTATCCCATTTAAAGGAGCTGTTTTAGAATTCCAATTTCTTTAGCAAGGCAAAATGTAACCATTGTTATTTCATAACTATTTTGTTAATTTTTTAAGAAATTTCATATTAAAATACATTTACAAAATTAACCCAGAGATAACTATAAAATATAATTTATTATACTTATATTAACTATAAGGAATTTTGTTTAATATTACAAATGATAATTAATAAATAAGAATTCTCAATGCGAATAATTTATTTAATTTTAGCGAAATATAAATGAAAGTAAATGTTTATGGAATCGATGCTATACAACAGTCATATGCATTAATGATCATTAAAACGGTAGAAATCAACCAAAAAATAAAATTAAGCAAACTGAGACTGGTAAGACCAGTGTGTTTGATTTTGACAGAGAATAATAGGGATATCTTTGGAAAGGTAGGGATGCCTTCGTGGAAGTCTTTCGATGGAGAACGATGCTAGTCGCATCACACATTAAAAAAAATTCTCATTTTTAAATAACACATTTACTGGACTGGAACAGAGTCACGAAGCTAATGCTAATGTGACTAGTGTTATCCATTCCACCACTGGTGACAGACGTTAGTCTTACAGAAACCTATTTTACTTTCAAAACAATCTTTTCTTCGGAGACATATGTTTTGATAAAATAATTTTGTACTTCAATCGAAATCAAAATTCATGTTTTAGCTTTTTCGTCTTTTTCACTATTTTTCATCCTTTGCATTTTTTTTTTCTTTTTGTATCTGAGGAATCTCTTGAGCCTAATTTTAAGTATATGGATCCCTATATAAACGAATGTACAGTATTCTTAAATAAAATATTTATTTGTAAGATATTATTATATATTTATAGGATATTTAAAATTAATCAGCAAGCAGTTAAACCATCCTAAATGAAATAATTATTTGTGGATTATTATCCTACAATAATTAAACAATTTTAATACAATATAAAAAAATGTAAAATTCCAAATTTTAAAATGTTTCATTGATAAAATTTAGACATATTTTTACATATAGAAATAGTAAAAAATACAATATATTATTTTATAGAAAGCGTACACGTTTATACCTAAGGTTGTTAATTACGATGGCATTAAATAGGTTACAAATGAGATCTTTAATGGGGCTGATGTTTTGATATTAGCATATTCAACTCAAATTTTATAATATTCAAGCAAAAACCAACTCATTTTACTATATCAAGTCGATTTAATTTTTTTGTTAATAGCTATGTTACACGACTAAAACTCCATTTCACAAGAAAAGTTGGGGAAGAAAACAATGCCATGTATTTTACATTTCTCTCATAAAAGCGGATATTTACGTAACGTCACCATTCTTACAAACACAACATTTTATTTTTTTACTTCCGTTACAAAATAAAGGAAATATTCTAATAACGAAAACTTCGGGCATCATATCTCAACAGAACTATCCATTTTGACAGTTCATGAATCCATTTGAATGATTTTTTGTGACCTTCTGTGCGTACGGATAGAATAAAGGATTCTTTTTCCCAAAATGGATTATAAGTTGGATCTAAAATGGATTCAAAACGTATTTGTTTTCGTGACGTCTGTACGCATGTACGTTAATATGTATGTATGTATCTAGTATAACGCAGAAACAATTAGGCGTAGAAATTTCAAATTTTTTATATGCGACTGTTATAACATCTCTCATTTGTAAATTTCTTTTCTCTCTCTCTCTCTCTATATATATATAATCTCTACACCTTCCCCCTTAATCGACTTGAATGTTCTTACCCGGCTCTTATATTCGAAATCGTTGGTCGTAGTCATATACTTCAAGTTACAGAAGCCTTTTAAATAACGAAACTACTCATGTTTTCTCAAATTCAAATTAAAAAAAAAATAATTTTCGACAAATAGCGAAGTAAAGCTTTTAATGTTATTTCCCAATTCCTATATTTACATTTTATACTCGTTATGAAAAAATAAAATTATAAGAAGTTTGGCTCCCACATGACAAATATTAATAGGGAAATTTACTTTTAAAATTTGCACTTTTTGATGTCATTTTCAACTTGCCTTGAGGTATCTGTTAATTAAGTTAGAATAATTCGAGAAAATAAGCTTAGATGAAGTGCATCAAAAATGTGTATAATTTTATAGGAAGTCATGTGATGTCCACATCAGACATTTTAATAGACTTGAAACCGTCTCATCAGACAGTAATTCAACAAGTTCCCCTTCTAACTCAGTTTTAACAGCAGCAACATTTACCTCAAGTGAAAGCAGTACCTAGTCTGGGATGTTTAGTTCTAGTAAGTCCTTAAACTAAACTTGCATGTCTTGAAATTTTTTTTAAATGACGAACATGAACAATACAGTCATCATCTTTTAAACCACTGCTAACTGAAATAAGGTTTACAAACTGATCAAACGCACCGCGTGAGATGTTAAGACTGCACAATTTTAGTTTCGCTAAGAAAAAATTGATAGCTTATTGATAAATAAATTGACCTTTATTACCAATCTCATGTATTATTTTGAAATATTGTAAACTGTAAATCAATCAAAAATCATAGAATCGTTGGAAACTGTTGCAAATAATTTTAAATAATTATAAATTTGATTTTATGTTAATCAGCTTTAAATTTCTTTTGAATTATGTAAACAAATTATGAATATTTTACAAATACAATTTCTGAATTGAAAAATGAAATTTAATTTTAAAAAAAGAATTTGAATCTGCAGCCAGCTATCTGTAACTTCTCCACGTCTGATTCTTTACTACGGTGGGAGCTATTCTTTTAAATTAGTAAAAAGATAAAACAGTACCAAAAAAGTATTTGAAAACTCTAGTTTTAAATATAAAAAAGGCATTCTGTATGCAGACAGTAAGAAGGAACTTCTATCTTTCTCGATTAAATGTGAAATTAAAAAATATATATTTCATTAGATTTACTTTCGGGTTATACAGTTTTTATTTCCAAAGTTTAAAGCAAATTTATAACTAATAGCTATAAAAATTTAAGGATTACTAAAACCGTACACCTTTGACTTGCATAAGAAGTACTGTGCACGAACTCATAGAACTTTAAATTTTAAACATTTTGTGACCATTTTTGTGGGTTTAAAAGTACCTACATTGGGAATCTTGATGCCTAAGTCAAAATATTCAGTTATTCAACTGATAGCTATAGATTTAAAAAAATTAAATTTCATTTTATAAAATGTTTTAATAAAACTGCAATGTGTATCCATTGCCTACATTCGGAGTCACACAAAATTATTTTGAAAACGTATTTTCAAGATTCGAGTGTAAATACTATTTTTATTTACATTAGATCAACTGATTTCATTGTCTTTTAAAATAACACTGGGCAGCAAAATTTAATTAGCTGTTAAGGAGGAGTGAAAAAGTGATTCTTATATACTTTTTTGATTTCAAATCTGATGTATCCATAGCCAAGAAATTAGACTAATCGGATAAGAAACAGCAACAATAACGACAAATATGAGGAACAGATAATTTTATATATTAAAAAGCTATGAGTGATTCAAGAAATCTTATTTAATTTTTGCAGTCAGATTCCAAAAATGCATAATAATAAAAAAATAACACTTGCTAATTTCACCGTTAACCACTTCAGTTTTGAAAGATTGTCTTTATAAAGGCAAAAAATTTTATTTTTTAAAATCATGAACTATACACATATAATTTAATTTAATATAAAATATAACAGTAGCAGTTTACACAATTTTGTATTACGTTTAGTGTTTAAATTAAAGCTGACGATCGGTCTTTCTATAACATCTTATTGTGTTCTAGATCTTAATATTAATTAATTTAACGAATTTTAACAGGAATACTTGTACTGCTGTCGAAAGATACATTCAAATTTGCCTTTCATATTTTCTTTAATTACTTAAAATATTTTATATTTAATATTCCAAATCATTAGAAATTAGTAAACTAAAAACAAATCAATTCTTGATTTTTCTTTTGTATACTTTTACGTGATAAGTAGTGTAGATGTAGGCAGACCTTTATTATACGGATCTCTTTTATCTTTCAAAGTGAAGGGAAGAATGTAGTAAGATAATTTTTATTCTAAAACTTCCGACTGAATATGTTAATCTTGTTAATTTTTCCAAACTAGCTCGTCCTCTTTTTTTTTATAAGTTTGATTACATAAATTTATTCTTTTTTTTAATAAATTCAAAATGAGTTTTTTTATAAATTAAGAAAAGCGAAAGCATTTGTTATGTGCACCATATCCCTTTTAAACTAAATTAAGCGTTATTTGAGATTTTAAAAAACATTATTGATCCAAGCGTTCTCTCAGTCAAAAGGTAAACAAAAGGTAAAAAGGTCAACAACAACTGAAGTATTTCCAAAGTTCGCTTATAAATGTAAGAGACTTTGTATATATCTCAATTGATGTATTTTAAAAACCTGTTTTTAACGAAACTGTATTAAAAGCATGCATTTCAAAGTAAATTAGTTATCTTGAATTCTTCTCATACTCACGCCAAAATCAAGGTAAGGGCCGAGTCGAATATTTTCTCTACTACTCCCACAGGAACTGCTATCGTCTCTAAAATACAGAGCATCATTGTCAAGTCCGGTCAATCTTCTCTGGTTTTCGAAGTTTTTTCGCATATCAGTCTAATATTCAGCTGAAAACTGCTGGCATTTACCGTAGCACCAAACACTACCTGAGTTATATTATTTTTCTTACTGTATTTGGCAAATGTGCAATAAATCGCGCAAATATGCAGAAATTAAATCTCCGGCGCTTATTGACACTTTAGACAGTCACATAATGAGCTAATTCTCACGTGCGAGTTTTTATCGTGAATTTATTTGCAAAATTTTCGGATACTTAGCTTTGTTTATTGTTCATCACCGGCCATAATAATTCTTAAACGATCTAGTTGTTCGATTCTTCAGCGCAGGCGCGTTCGAAGTTCGTCGGGAAGAAAAAGATGGCATGTTGAATTCTGAATGCGAGCGCCATCTAGAGGGCGTTTTATAATTAAACTCGCAAGAGGATCGAAGTGGCGTGACGTCATGCATGCATTTCGAAAACCGAGGCCCGTTTGATATCGATTTTGAGTTTCTTCCTTTCTTTTTGTTGTTCGTTTCCAGGCAAGTAGGAAACAAACTAACGTGGGGACAAAATGTATTTTGTCTCGTGTGCTAAACCTGATTGCGACACTTTTTTTATCTTCCACTTTCGTCGCCCACGGGAAGTATAATCTGTTTCGACACAAATTACATTTTTCATCCTTTAATACGCTTCCTCACAAAAGCTTTATTTTCTTTCTTTCCCTTTTAAATTGAGTTCTTTAAATTGAAACAGTTTAAAAAGATATTGTTTCAAATCATTTTTTTTAAAATTTTTTTATTTTAAGCGCTCTAAAAAACTGTTAAGTAAAATCATTGCTTTTCCTTTAGACTTTAATTGCAGAAATTATTCGCCATTAATAAGCACTAATTCTTCACTCTACACACAGTTTCATAAGTATAGCACTGGGAAACGGGTTAATTGTCTTCTAATGAATAAAAAATACCAGATGTAAGTTTCTTCTGTTTATTTAATGAGTTACGGTAATTAACGAATCATGAAACAGAGCTACCTGCCTAGCGAAAGGAATGCCTCTATGCAAAGTTTAAGTTTCCTAGAAGATACTGGTTCTCTTTTGTTTACCATTTGAAGAAGGGTATAAATGAGTAAATTCAAAGAGATTAAAACGTATTAAAATTTTCGTAATGTAAACACAACATGCCTGTTTTTATATAAAGGATTGAATAAAGAAATATCATGGGCTACTTCAGTCAACTTAATGTTCCTTTCTTTGTATTTTCCTTAAATTAATTCTTTTACAAAAGTAAAAGGTAATTTAAATATTTTTCTTTAAAGAAATCATGTAAACATTCGCTTAACTTGATATACAAGTACAATATGTTATTAATAATTGCTTACAATAATTAATATATGTATATAATGTTCTGAATAAATGAAGAATATAAGTTTTTTTCTATTCAGGATTAATACTCACAAAATTAAAACCTAAAGGAAAACCATATCAAAATAAAAAAATGTAAAGAATAAAATCAGAAAATTTTTCATAAGAAATATAAGATTTATTTTTCTGCATTATATTAAATACAATGAAACTTAGATAATGCCCTGAATAATGCAAAACAAAATTCCGATAAGCATATATGTTCTAGAAAATACATTTTTAGCTTAAAGGAAAATAATTCTCCTTACTATGCCCTTATTTAAATAAGCAAACAAGACCTAAGGTTTGAGTAAGCAAAGAAACCTATAAATTAGGTAAGCAGGCTAAGATTTCAGCAAGCAAATAATAAATGGGGAATTTTAATTTGTGTCTCTTCTCTAAAGGGACAATCAAAGTTTCCAGAGGACTTTGGTCTTCAATGAAGGTGGTCGCCTTAGAAAGGCAATATTTCACACTGTTTTTTAATACTGATTATTATAAGACATAGTCCTCTACAGCACAGAATTTAGTGACAAAATAAGAGTTCACTGTGTATTTTTATCATATAGAGCATCTTAAAAACATTTTTTGTAGTATTATATTACTAGTTTTTAAGTACAATTTATTATTGACTCATGCGTATGTAAAGAAAAACAAATAAATCCAATAAAAGTAATTTTCTCCCACAAATAATTATATTGATATTTTTATCACTTATTATATATTATATTTTCAAGAATAAATGCACGTATGATGAAACAAAATGTTTGAGTCATTAATTAAAGTCATTCAAAATTATTTAATTTGGGACTATATTTGTATTTAAAGATTAACTGGAGGAAAATTGTTCCCACCCCCGGAGGAATCCCCCCTGCTGGATAACTTCCTAGTTTCAGGGAAATTACAGTTAGACTTTTATTTACGTATTAAATATTTACTTTCAGCTCATGAAAATGACAAATTACTTCCTTCTAATTTTGATATTTATCAACAATTTTATATTTTTTTAATTAAATTTAAACAAAAATACATTAAAAAAATCTAACTTTAATTGCAAAACCAAAGTAAGTTAAGTAAATAAACATAAATGTTTATGTACTTTTCGATTTGGAGAAAGGAATGGGATGAATGATTCTCTAGCAATGATGAAAAGAGTACATGAGGCAAATATAGTTTTAAATCATTACACTAAGGGAATAAATTTAATTTATATGCAATTTAAAAAGAAGACGTTTTTACAAAAGTTAGATTTACAATAGAAATGTCGCATAAAGGTGTTAGTGACAGAATATTTGAATTTTTTTTTCATCCATCATTTGAAAATTTTCAGCAAGCAGATGAAATAGAATAAAAAGCAGATTATGATTTGTTCAACTTTTAACTCATTAGGTTTGCATATACCAGACGATTTTTATACTAATGCATATTAAGTACCAAACTAACAGAAAATATATTAAGATTTTCGTTATAAAAATTACCTCAAATATCTCAAAAGTGTTTTAACGTTTACACTGCTTTTTTCGTTTTCTCAGAACTTTCTGTACGGTTAAGGACAAGAGAGAAAAAGATGTACACTGAAACTCAATTAGGAAAATAATTACAATGTAATTATAATGCTAATTACTGGAAGCTAGAGCATATTATCCTCAACTCATGTTGTTTACCATTTTTGGCTAATTTTTCACTCGCACTGACATAAAAAGAAATAACAAAAAGATAGTTTTTTTTTTTTTTTTTTTTTTTTTTTTTTTTTTTTTTTCCAGTTTCATTCCGTAATAAAAACAGGTATAAAATATAATTGTTTTTCATTAAAACTTTAATTCACGCAGATGAAAAAAGTTAAGAGAAACGATTAACTCAAGCATCTCTTTCGATAATTATCAAAAAACATAATTGAGAAGAACTAAAAATACAAAAGGAAAACGGAAGTTGCATATGAGGTAACATGTGGCTTTCGAAGTGGTTTATCATCAACCGAAAGTGCACTCTTTTGTTCTGGATGAAATAAAAGAATTCAGTAAACTGAAATATTAACCTCTAATTGAAGAAACTGATTAAGTGAAGGCAATAATTTTGTTAAAATATAATAAGTATTTATTTAACTTCCATATTTTATTTTATAAACGCTTTCATTTTAATTTCTATTTACAAAACTTTAATATTATGTTCCTTACTATTTATATAACAATTGTTATAGTTTGTCATTATTTACACAAATAAAATTCAGATATTACCCAGTTTAAGATGCATGCCAATAAATGGAACCATACTTTATGACTTAAAAGATTTTGATTTATCACTGTAAGAATTTAGAGTGTTGGAGAATTACCAAAATTATGTTATTGACAGTAATATTGATTTTATATATTGTCGGTTTACAGGCGTTAAAATTAGAGTTTCAAGAAAAGAATTATTATTTATATGGGTAAAAAGGAAACAAGTCATTTCCCCCCCCTGTAAATGTTTTTCTTTGGCATATGCAGTAGTCAAGCAGGGAAACAATCAACTAGGCGCGATATTCTTATATTCCAAGAAAATAGACGAAATGCTTGGTAATTTAGGGCAGATTTTTTCAAATTATGAGCCATTTACCACCATATTAGTGTGGGAGTCATCAACGTCTAATGCTGAATTAGAATACCAGGATTATGACGTCATCAGTATAGCATCACCCAGCGCAGTAAGAATCATCCCAGACAGCGCTGAGACCTGGTCGAGAGTGGATGGCAGACGTGAGCAGACGGCTCACACGTCTTCAAGAGTTTATGAACTTTAATTGCGCTTTCGATGTTATGCCTTTACATCATTATGTTAATCCTGCATACCGTTAACTTCATCTTTATATACTTTTTTATTTATTTCTTTCTATTAAATAAACCATTTAAATATTACTTCGTGCTCTCATGCTGTGAATCAAGTCAAATTCTACAAAAAAATATGGCGACCAACCGTGCGGCCTCGAATTCCAAAATGTGCGAGTAGTAGAACTGTGCTTTGAACTGTGAACTGAGTGAACTGTTGTCACAAGTTATTCGATTTATTGGATTACTCGTATAAAGTGTGGATTACCCAATTGACGACGATCATCTGTCGGGTGAGTACAAAACTTTCTTTCCAATATGAAGTTAGTAGAAATTCCAGAATTGGAAGCAGCTTTAAAGAACAGTAAAAGTTCTGAAATCAAAAGTTTGCATAAGCTTATTTTTAATACTGATGGAGATCGAAATAACCGGAAAAGATTACGTGAATTTTCTGGCTTTATATTTTAAACCAGATTCTGAAGAATTTAATAAGAAAATAGATGCAGTGCAGAATAGTTTTACTTTGAATGAGTTAATTAAAATTTGCAATGTACTGTGCATAAATTCAGAAGGTTTCAAAAACGGAAGTCGTAACCCGAATTGTCTCTTTCCTATGTGATTTATCTGTATTATTTGAAAATATTTTGCATGAAGAAAATAGTGATATTGAAGATGAAACTATTAATAAAATTTTCTGAAGTAATGCTTGATGATAATCAAAGAGACAATCCTGGTTTTAACGAGTCTCAAGTAAATAACAGTATGCAGCTTCCAATTCAAGATCATTTTAAACCTCATCTTAGTTTTTCTGATATTGAAAGTATTGTTAATCCTTTTTCTGGTAATGCATATGAAAATGTTGATAAATGGATTGATGAATTTGAAGATGTTATAAATTCTTTGAAATTAAGTGATTTGCATAAATTAGTTTTTGCTAAAAGATCATTAAAAGGTAAAGCGAAACTATTTATTCAGAGTGAACCTAAAGTTAATGACTGGTGTAAGTTAAAAAAGCTTTTGAAATCTGAATATGGTAAAGCTTTTAATTCTGCTGAGTTGCATGAAATGTTATGTAATTAATGCCTAATGAAT